TTTTACTTGGTTTGTTTTGCCATAGCCCAAGTTTATATAATTGAGATCCAATAATAACCTTTAACCCTCAGACTACTAACCCTTTGTGGGGCATATAACAAGGCAGGGAAAATCACGAGGTAAAAAAAGAATCAATCAGTTCTGGAATTTGATACATATGTGAATTTAAAGTCACTAACCTTTTTTAATGTTAATTTTCTATCTCTGAAACATGAAGCTAGGGACATGCTGCTCAGGTAAATTTATAAGGTCTAACAATTTATAAGTTCTAACAATTGCACTTCAAAAACTATCAGACAGTATTTCCCAAATTGCCTTCCTCAGAAAATTAGTCATGTATAGAACTTTCTCATAAAGGGTCTGGAAGTTAAATAGATTTGGAAAAGTTACATACAGTATATTAGAGCTTAGATATTTATAAAGCACACTAGGATATTAAAGTAATAAAATCTTTAAACCTTTAGTTACCCCTAAATTTCTCAGACAATTTAAAACACAGAGGTCACAGTTCCAACTTTTCCTATAGTTGCATGCATTACTTAGCCCAAAGAGCTACTTATCCATAAGACAGACAGCTAGGATGGACTTACAAACAAACAAACATACATGCTGGTACATTTTAAAGTAATAAAATAATTGCTGCCTACTTGGCTTCTCATTCTTAATTGCTACACAACCTGGCATAGTTTCTGACTCTCTCAAACTTTCCATTAAAATTTTTTTTATTTTAAAAGATTAATTCTGAATTTTTAAAACAGAGAAAATGGTAATTGTTAAATATGTAATGCTGTATAGCTATAACAGCTATTAATATTTTACCATAAATATTATTTTTAAAATAAATATTACAAACAAATGTTAACTGAATGAAAGTTATGATATGCTTGTCATAAAGTGGCAAGTAGGGTTATTTGTGGGGGGCAAAACTATCCCTTTTATGAATGATGGCAGTTAATCAAAACTGGAGGATGTTTTTATTCTTGTATACCATAAAGCAATTATAACCTTCCGAAACATTTTGATGTTTAAAAATGCATCACTTAGTTATAAGTACACTTTCACTTCTACTTATTCTACCTATTCAATAGTGTTTAATTAACTTAAAATTTTTATTCTTAAAATTCTTAAAATTTAGCTCTTCAAGATTGTCTAATATCAAATCAGATCTAAAAGATTCAATCACCAATTTACATACTAATTCTTCTGGACACTTCTTAAGTGATTTTACAAATAACTTTAAAGAAATATTTCTAAAAGAACTCTATGTTAGAGAACTTCTAACTCTCAGAAATTGTCTCAAAAATTTAAAACTTAAAACAATTTTTAAAGTAAAGGAAATGTCATCAATTCTGTATTCATTACCTTAGATGAAAGGTAACAGTAATAAGCATTTCTTAAAATAAATTAATGGGGAATTAGTTTGATGTTTCAACTCCCATTTAATATCTCAAATTCAATATTATGTTTAAAAACACAAATATTTGAAAAAAATTAAAGACTCTTGGAAAGGTGTCCATTTTCTCAGAAGACTTTACCCAAAAGACTACAAAAGTTCTGTAAAAAAGCATCCTTGGGTCCTCCCTGGTGGCGCAGCAGGTTAAAGCACTGCACTGAGAAGCTAAAAAGCCACTTCCGCTTGAGTTCAATTCCTGCCTGCCCCGGAGGAGACCACAGGGCTTGGCAGACCTCTCCTGGCCCGCCCGCTGCTCCCCTCAGCAGTGTACTTCGTTGATCTACTGTTCTGCTCCCCACTCTGTCTCTGGTGAAGCCTCTCACCACCCCTGAGCCTCTGGCCTGTACCCCAGTTCTGTATGTACAAATAAATGAATCTTAAAAAAAAAAAGCATCCTTATTGAAAATGAAATAAAAATTTTAATTTAAAAGAATTTTAACATTCAAACAAGTGAGACAAATATGAATAGACAAGCTACTAGATACCATGGAATGCACTAAAAATGATATTAAGTGGGAGATACATAGCAATTCAGGTCAACAAAGAAGAAAAGTCTCAAATAAGCAATCTAATTTTACATCTAAAGGAATCAGAAAAATAACAAAGAACAACTGAAACCAAAAATCAGTAGAAGAAAAAATAAAATTTAGAATACAATTTAAAAAATTAGAAATCAAAAAGACCATTCAAAATGTCAAAAAATATCAATAAAATGGTTCTTGGAAAGTATAAACAAAATAGACAAATACTTAAAAAGGCCAAATGAAAAGAATGAGAAACAAGAATCAAAATTACAACAAAGATCATAGATGTACAAAGGATCATAAGGGACTATCAGTAATGTTTTTATGCAAACAAATTGGACAGCCTATAAGGAATGGACACATTTTTATAATCTTCAACCTTTCAATGCTGAACAGGTATGAAATAGACCAACCCACAAGTTCAGAAATTGAAAGAGTAGTCATAAGTCTCCATAATAACAAAAGCAAAGATGAGATGGCTTCACTAGTGAATTCTATCAAACCAAAATTCTTCCCAGAAAGAATCATCCACCATGACTAAGTGAGATTCATTTCAGGGATGTCAGGTTAGTTCAACATACACAACAGTCATTAACCTCATCAACAAAAAGAAAGATAAAAATGATATGACCATTTTAAAAGACACTGAAATAGCTTTCAACAAGATTCAACACCCATTGAAGTAAAAGGAACTAAGATCATTCTCAATGGTAAAAACTGAAAATCTTTTCTTAAGACTTGAAATAACACAGGATTCCACTCTCACCACTGCTGCTAAATATAATACAGGAAGGGTCTTAGCTAAAACAATTGGGCAAGAGAAAGACATAAAAGGTATACAATGGAAAAGAGGAACTAAAGCTATCATTTATTTATAAATGATATAATGTCTACCATTGCTTGTTGGTCTTGGACTGGCTGAAACAGTCTGGGTAAGAGACACACGGGGAAGTTCACAAGGGCAGCTTTTATTTTGACTTTGATTTTGCTTTTTTCTCCCCAGACTTTTCTGAGAGTTTCTGATCCTTTTCTATGGGCCCCGCAGGTAGGTGCTTTAGGTTTTCAGGTCTTGCTTTGAGCTAACCCTTACTGACTGGACATTTAACCACACAAGGGTGGGAACTTCAGGTGCTTTATTCTTCACCTTTTATATATCGCACGCAAGTTATATTAAAGTTTCTACTCATAAGTCTTACACACTAGATTATGTTTTGTCTTGATGTGGCAGATGGCAGAACCTCTTTAGAACAGGCAGCCTTAGGGGTTTGGGGGTACCCTTCTCCCTGCCCTGTAACAGGAAGACACATATGGGTGAGAGACGTATGGGGAGGCTGACAATGGCAGTTGTTATCTTGATTTGTACTTTGATTTTGCTCCTGTCATCCCAGACATGCCTGGCTTCTTCTGCTCCTTTTCCATAATTCCTGACAAAAGGCACCTTAAACTTATGGCAACTTTTCAGCTCTCAGTGGCCCCACTTTGGATCAATGCTGTTTGGCTGTGCATTTTACCCATATGGGGCTGGGTAACTGAGTGTTTTGTAGGCAAACTGTGTAATTTCTCTTCTTCCCTCTATAAGCATAATAATTCTATGGAAGATCTTAACCACTAAGGGAACGCTTTGTCTTAAAGTAGTAGATGGTAGAACCCCTTGAGAGCATGCAAGTTTGAGGACCCTCAGGTACCCCTTAGTCTGGCTACTAACTGATTACATTGATATCACTTATTTTAACAAATATTCTCATATTAAAATCTAAAAAGGTAACTACTTATAGTGCTTAGCTGTTTCTAATTGTCTTGAGATTGAATCTTGACTCAATCACTCTTCTGATATAAAAAAATAATAAAATTAAAACATAAATAAAATCATCACAGATATACTACATATACAACTATATAAAAATAGTTGTTTCTAAATTTCTTATTTCCAGTAGACTACCCAGTTCTTTTAGAAAAAACATATAGTCGTTAACTTATTTAAAGTTGATTATAATTCATTCATTTCCTAATTTACATGTATACATCAAACACTATGCTAGGTACAGGGAGATGACAATGGTAAACATGGTTATTTTTTTTTTTTTTTTTTTTTTTTTTTTTTTAAAGATTTATTTATTTATTCATACAGAACTGGGGTACAGGCCAGAGGCTCAGGGGCGGTGAGAGGCTTCACCAGAGACAGAGTGGGGAGCAGAACAGGCAGATCAATGAAGTACACTGCTGAGGGGAGCAGCGGGCGGGTCAGGAGAGGTCTGGCTCGCCATGTGGTCTCCTCCGGGGCAGGCGGCAGGCGGGAATCGAACTCATGCGTAAGTGGCTTCAGATTCTCAGTGCTGTGCTTTAACCCGCTGCGCCACCAGGGAGGGCCAACATGGTTATTTTTCTCCCCTTTAAACTTTCAAGCTAATATGGATCAACAAACTTTAAATTTAAAGAGCCATATAAAATATGCTTTAAAGGCATTTACAGAATTAGCTGCCAACTAGCAATTTCAGTATTTTACAGTAAATGCAACTTCAGTGGTAAGCAAAGATTGCCATGATACATGATCAGAATTAACAAAAAGCTGGAAATGAGCTATTACATTTTCTCAAATTCAGCAAATAAAAATAGCCACAATTAGGGCCCTCCCTGGTGGTACAGCAGGTTAAAGCACAGCACTAAAAAGTTAAAGCTACTTCCACATAAGTTCAATCCCCGCCTGCCCCCAAGGTGATCCACATGGTGTGGCAGACCTCTCCTGACCTACCCGCTGCTCCCCTCAGCAGTGTACTTCGTCAGTAGGCCTGTTCTGCTCCCCGCTTTGTCTATAGTGAATCCTCTCACCGCCCTTGCACCTCTGGCCTGTACCCCAGTTCTGTATATACAAATAAATAAATCTTAAAAAAAAAAAAAGTGCCACAATTATTGAAAACTACTTAATTGTTATTCTGAAGATATAAGAATTACTTCATTGTACAGTTTTCTTTTAGCTAGTTGCAAAAAAATATATACTATAAGCATAAGCATAACTGAAAGCTTACCTTGAGTGACTGTTTTGAGAACAATTAAAGTTGATAAAAATCTCAGTGGTAAATTGGAGCTCTTGAAGAAAACAGCTGTCTTTGGCTTATTCTCCACAGAGTGTGCTAAAGAATTATCCTGAATTCCCTTAGTTACTACTCCCTTGAATATATCTTCACCCAATCTCCTCAATGTTGATGTCATAGATGAATGCTGTTAAAAATACATAGCATTATACTATACTTAGTCATGTTCAGAAAATGTTTTACATACTACAGTCATATATAAGAAAAATATGTCAATGTTTTGCTTTAAAAAATGGAATTAAGAAAATGAAACATTTGACAGTTAATTTTATAATCAACTTAATATTTATGACTATGTTTCTAAAAGAAATGGGCAGTCAACTAAAAATAAAATTTTTCTAAGAATAAAATAAAATCAGAAGAACAATTGAGAAAAGATTCAATCTCAAAACAATTAAGAACATAAATCTTGATATATTCCTGACACAGAGAAATCAAAGGAACTGAGATAAGCTACTTCCTCCACAGGTTGCTCATTGTTTTGCCATTCTTGAGTAGTTTATCATGTGTATATTAAAATATTAGCTTATAAAATGATCATTTAGGGCCTCAATGCTTTATAGCTCAGTATGATTAAATGTCACAATAATTTTGATGAATTTTTATAATTTCAGAAGAATAAACTGCTGGGTTAGAATCACTGATAATTTTCATGGAGATTAAACTAAAACCAGAAAGCTAGGACCTCCTAATTGTACAGGGATTGAAGCCTTAGTGCTATCAAGTTATCACCAGCCATTGCAGCATGAGTTTGATCCCCAGCCAGGGAGCTAACCTCTCTTGTCTTGCCTTTTGATCCCCTCAGCAGTGTATTTCAGTAGATCCTCCTATTCTGCTACCCACCCTGTCTCTAGTGAATCCTCTCACCCCCCGAACTTCTGGTCTACATCCCAGTTCTTCTATGCATAAATAAATAAAAATAAACCTTCAAAGTTAATGGTATTTGTTAAAAAGTTCATACAAAATAAAACCAGGAAACAGTCTAAACACAAATACTGAGATATTACCTTTCAAGTAATGAAGGCTCTAATGATATTCAATGTAAACATGAAGAACCAAAATAAAGGGAAACCGTTTCAAACTGTTGCAACAGCTGGATTATTTAGAAATAATTCATAAAAGACCATAACTTTCTAAGCCAGTATGATGTGTGGCTTTAATGTCTATACTAAAAAAAAAGTAGCTACTGATAAAGAAGAGTGACAGCTATTATGTGGTTGTGTTCACTATTTCTATATTCTCATTCTCCTCCCCCAAAGACCCTCAATGGTACCCAACCATGTTCCTAATCCTCACCTGACACTACCTTCACACTGATGAGACTGACAGAGCTGCCATCCCCAGAAGTTAGACTGAGGTAAATGTCACCTATCATTATTTCAGAACAAAATATTTCATGAGTACAGTAAAAACATCAAGGAGGGCCTCATAGTCATGATCATTTGCAGATTGAGGCTCAGAGATGCCATGTTATAGATGAAGAAGTATAGTTTTAGGTGTATGCTGCTGATTGTGGGTAGTAGAGGTAGAAAACCTGGAAATTCTGAAATCCAAGTGGTTTGTCTCAAAAATCCCTATAACTTTATTTTTTTCTCAAGCGTCCTTCATTAAAAAGCAAACCTCCCCAGGCCCTCCCTGGTGGCACAGCGGGTTAAAGCACTGCACTAAGAAGCTAAAGCCACTTCCGCATGAGTTCTATTCCCGCCTGCCCCGGAGGTGACCACATGGCATGGCAGACCTCTCCTGACCCGCCCACTGCTCCCCTCAGCAGTGTACTTTGTAGATCTGCCCGTTCTGCTCCCTACTCTGTTCCTGGTGAATCCTCTCACCCTCCACGTCTCTGGCCTGTACCCCAGTTCTGTATGAATAAATAAATAAATCTTTAAAAAAAAAAAAAGCAAACCTCCCCAGTCTCCCAGTCAGAATGGTGGGAATATAAACTGATCTCCTACAGAAGGAAATGTGGAGATTCCTCAAAATACTAAAAATGGAGCTATCATATGGAGCAATTCCACTCCTCGGGATCTACCCAAAGAACACAAAAACACTAGTTCTATACAAAACCTGTATTCCTATACTTATAGCAGTACTATTTATAATAGCCAAGATATGGAAACAACCTAAATGCCCCAGAACAGATGAATGGATCAAGAAGATGTGGTACATACACACTATGGAATACTACTCAGGAACAGAAAAAAAAAAAATATTAACTCTTGTCACTTGGGGCAACATGGATGGAACTGAAATTATTGTTAAGTGAAGTGAGTCAGAGGAGAAAAAGAATTACCAGATGGTCTCACTTTTGTGGAATCTATAAAACAAAAAAACAAAGAATCAGACAAAGACAAACTATACTTGAGACAATATACTTGAGACAATATACTTGAGACATCCAGAAGGAGAGTGTGAGGGTTAGGGAGAGGAGAGGAGAGAATAGGTGGGGAGAGGAGTATGGTGGAGTATAGTGGAGGACTGTGGGCACTTTGCTGATGGGAAAACTATGCTGACCATACCTGAGGGGAGAAATTCTATATTGTGAAAAAATAAATGAGGATGTTTAAAAAAACTAAAAAGCTTCTGTACAGCAAATGAGACAAAAATCAAAATGAGGAGACACCCTAATGATTGGGAGAAAATAGTTGCACACCATATAACTGATAAAGGACTGGTACAGAAAATTTACAAAGAGCTCACATGACTCAGCAAACAATCCAGTAAAAAAAAAAAAAAAAAAGGTAGAAGAGCTAAAAAAAAAACTTTTGTAAATCAAAACCTCAATGAGATACTACAACACACTGGTGAGAATGGCCTTTATTAAAAAAAGAAAGAAACTGGTAACAACAAATGTTGGTGAGGATGTGGAGAAAAGAAACTCTGACGTTGCTAATGACAATACAAACTGATCCAATCACTATGGAAAGCTGTGTGGAAGACTCTCAAACTACTAAAAGTGAAGCTACCACATGACCCTGAGATTCCATTCTTAGAAATCTACCCAAAGAAAAAAAGAAATTCATCCAAAGGAAACCTGTACCCCTAAGTTTACTGAAGCACAATTATGATAGCTAAGACATGGAAAGATCAAGAAGATGTGTGTGTGTGTGTGTGTGTGCGTGTATATACATATATACATATATACACACACACACATACATACAATGCGATTCCACTCAGAGATCAAGATCAAAAAAGATAAACTTGTGTCATTTGCAGCAACATGAATAGAGCTAGAAGGGATTATGCTCAGTGAAGTAGGTCAAAAGGTAAAAGAAAAGTATTGAATGGTTTCACTTATAGGAGGAATATGTGGAGACTGAACATAGAGTCAGAAAAAAAAGTTTGCAGGTAAATTATAGATCTGAGGTATGCAGTATGGAAAGGGGAAGGACGGGAGGAGTCAAAAGGGGAAAGGAAGATCACAAGGGACTATGGTGATGGTTCATGGGTGAGGTGGTAGTAGGAGTAGGATTACACTTGAGGGGAGAAATCAAATATTGTACAAAAAACAATTTAAGAAAGTAAAAGTAAAAAAAAAAAATTAATTTAAAAAACAGAATAGGGCCTCCTTGGTGGCACAACGGTCTGTTAAGGTTAAGCACTGTAAAACTATCCGCAGCCTTGGGCCAGGGAGGTGACCCAAATGGCACAGTCAACCTCTCCTGTATCAGCAGCTGCCCCTCATAGCAGTGTATTTCAGTCAGACTTCCTGTCTGTTCCCCACTCTGTCTCTGGTGAATCCTTTCACCCCCATACTTCTGGCCTATATCTCAGTTCTTGTATGCATAAATAAATAAATCTTTAAAAAAATAAAGCATGTTCTTTAGCGTCCTATTTACAATGCACAGATTTGTGAATGTGACAGTAATAATTCCATCAAAAACGGGCTCAGTTAAATATTCAAATAATACCAGTGTGGGAAGAGTGCACTGGAATGTGGTGATGGCACATGGGTGAATTGGTGCTAGGAAGCCCATGGGGATTACAACCGAGATGAAAAAATGCACAAAATGAAGAATGATGTAAAAAAAAAAAAATTCAAATAACATGTTCTATGAAGCACAGAAGGTCAGCCCTGCCCACCAGTTGCCATGGAAAGCCCCACTGGAAAGCCAAGGGGATACCCAGGGCTACTAATTCCAGGCAAGTTCAGGACAGTGGGCCCCAGAAATCAGTGCATATGATGAAGGCAAGCAAGATCATGCCAGCAAGTATAAACCCTTCCTCTCAGACAAGAGCATGTCTGTGGTTTCTTCCTCGTACATCTCCAGCTGTCTATAAGCTGGCCCTAGAGCCTCTGTAATGCAGTTCAGCCATGAACTTCCAGGCCACTGAGGATAAGCATGACCTTTTTTTCATGCAGAGTCTCCTTAACAGAGTACTGCACAGCCAGAAGAGCTCCTTGGTGTCACCACTTCCCAAGATGCTTTCCTCCTCCACCAACTGGATGGCAATAGCCCAGGATTAGGGTTCCAAGACAGTGAGGTTGACAATGACTGTGACCACACACCTATGATGACAAATGGGATCCATAAGAGGTATGGTTAGCATATGGGGAGGTTTGCACATCAGGAAGTGGGGATGGCTGGCTCAGCAAGGCTGGAACTCAGAGTAGACATGAGAGTCCATGGCACCACCAGCAGCCTGGGTCTGAACACCTTGAAGCAACCTCTAAGGCCCAGTTTTGCCGGCCTGCCAGGCTCCTCCCACCCCAATAAGATAATCTGTAGCTAGAGAAGATTAATCTAAAATGTATACAAAGAGGCAAAGGAAAAGAATAGTCAAACCATTTTTGGAAAAAAAAAAAAAAATAAATGGCAAGAATCAGCCTACTGTGGCCCTCTAGTGGGTCCAGGAACTGGGGCACGACTATAAAGGACAAACCAGAGGGATGAGCTATGTCCAGCATACAGTGACTCTTTATTTTGCAGCGTGCTCTTTATATACTCCATATTATCAAGCTGAAACAATAGCATACTGACTGATTCTAACTCTATATCTGGTGTTCTAATTTCTTGGAACATCCTGTCCAGCCCCAGATGGCTGAGCCCTTGCAAACACCTGGCCCCTTCTCTTGATAAGCTCTCTTGCTATCTTTCTCAGGTGTGGCTGCTTGCTCATATTACT